TTCGCTTAGATGTTGCTGTATATAGCTTACTTTCGCCTTATAATTTTCCGAGGTCTCATCAAAATCGAATCCGGAATAGTCTCGAAGTCTTTGGTGGTTTTTTCGATCTCCTGCTCTTTTAAACACTTATTTGTGCAAAGCAACAATGTTCGCTTTTCTGCTGCTGCGCAAATTTTCACTTATGAAATCATTTAAGCGGCTCATGTTTGTTCAAAAAAATAAAATTACAGCGACGAAATAAAGTTTTAGAAGTTTACGCAGATTGTAACACACATGGTTTATTTTTTCAGGTTTTCACTAGTCACTTACCCACTTGTGGATACATATCCCGGTTAAGCCCCCAAATCTGGGATTTTAGTTTATTATTGTTTATTGATTAATTATTAAGTATTAGAAATGGTTAAAGGATGTTGTCTATGGTAAACGTATGGCATGCTTGCTCCTTAAGGCAGACACACCTCACATATATATTTGCTTGTTATTTTCTGATCTTTTAAATGGCAGTTATATGATAGTCGACCGATTTCTATAAAACTTAAAACCGTAATTGTAAAATATTTAACGATACTACGATACTCAAAGAATGATAAACAAATGGAATAAAAACAGCGAAGTTATTTATTTTGAATTAAGTTTTTTTTTATCGTTCCGACTTATATACTACCTGCAATGGGAAGAAAACTTTTAAAAAAGTTTAATGTAGATAGCTTTAAAACTGAGAGACTAGTTTGCGTGGAAACGGACGGACGGACACGCGGACATGGCTCCGCCATATTCTTGATGCTGATCAAGAATGTCTCCTTCACTGCGTTGCAAACTTCTGACTGAAATTATAATACCCTCTGCAAGGGTATAAAAACAGGTATTTAGGGAAAATATGCCTAACAAAACAATTATCATCAGTAGAAATAGGATTATTCATTCAGATATTTAATTATATTAAACAAATCAATAAAAAGAAATATATATATATATAATAATTAAATTTTAAAAAACATTTGTGCTCTTTTCACAAAAAAGTTTTCCCGGGTACTTATATTGAACTTAATACTTTTAACAAGATCCGAACTAATTGAATACACAAGTCCCGAGTATTTATTATTTAAGGACAACAAAAACGTATTAACGTACAATTCATACGCAAAATTATTTCACGTTTTTAAGAAGTAATAATTAACACGGAAACGAGAATTTTTAAAAAAATCGTCAAAAACTGACAAAGAATAGGAAACTTCAATGGATTTAGAGCTCAGCGAAATAACTTTATCAGAAATAATGCCAAAAAGGCAAAAAAGAGGAATAAACGAAATAGGAACTTTATGGAAATGGATAGCAGGAGCTCCTGAAAATAGACGACTTAATACAAAACAATAACAAACAATTCACAACAAATTCCGAATTATTTAATGAGGTAAAATACTTTACTGAAAATTTAAAAAATTTAGTCTTCAATGAGGAAACAGTTTTACGAAAACAGGTAATTGTGTAATATGTAAATACACATTGTGTAATTTTCAAAGCGTGATTTTGTTTTAAACTATTATTTTACATTTGCCGGTGCTATACTTTCCTCCGCCACTGTAATCACAAGGAGTAACTGAACAAAACGGTACTAAGAGTAAAGCAACGACAAGAACAAAAGGGAAAATGCAAGAAGACGCGAAGTATTTTTCGTTTCCTTAGCATTTTTCGCCATTTGCATTTTGATTTTCAATTAAAATAGCTGGTGCTTCTATAATTAATGAAATTAATATATCCCTTTCGGTTTTAATTTTCAAGTAAGTATAGTGTTGTTACTCAAAATACTTTAGTGCCAATATGAAATTCAATAATGTGAACTAAACAACAAGAAGAAAAAACTAGCCTTATTAAGACTACATGCAAAGTGAAACTGTGCCAAAAAGTTTACAAAAACACTTTCTTTTATGTACTAATATACAGTGTACGGCTGTTAATAAAAAGGTAAAAAATTAGATTTTTTGTTAATGAAAAGTAATTAACTTAAACTTTTTGAGCGTACACCTCTAAGACTTGTGTTATTTTATAATGAATATATTTTCGTGTGCAAATTCTCATGCGTTTTTAATATTCTTTACCTTTAATACCAGGAAAAACAAATTTCAAAACAAAAGGTAATTCATATATATTTCATAAATTAAAATTTTGTGTTTTATGAACTCGTTTCGTTTATTTGTGTCTTTCTTTTTTCTCTTCGTTTTACTTCTGCCTAGAGTGGCCTTACATCTACATTCTAGTGGTGTTTTATTAGGGTGGACCTAAGAACACAAATTAACATCGGCTAACTATCGTATAAATTAGTCCGTCAAACTTCAACGGCAGACTAGTTTGGAAGTTTATGGAAGGGCAAAACCTTATGGACCATCCCTTTAACGGATGGTGGAAGGTGGATTGATCTCTGTGGAAATACGCTATTAGGATCCGTCTACCGTTTATCGTCTACCGTCAATGACGGTGCATTTAAACTGGCCGCACCTAATTTTTTCAAAATATTACACCGTCAACCTGTGCTGTTCCTATGTTATGATGTTTAGCCCAGTTATAGACCAGTCCCACAGAGCCCATCCAAGCGAAACGTTTGGGATTTTTCATGGATGCTGGACTGGTGTTCCCACAAAACCACCGACCATCAAGAGTCACAGAGGCCTATGCAGAATTTTTTGAGGGGTTCTTTCACTCTATCAAACTCTTTTAGAAGTACTTTTTTAAGCTCTTATTATATTTCAATGCTATGGATAAGTTGTTAACTGGTTATCTGGACTTTTATATAATTGCTTTTTTCTACTCTGTGCTCAAATTGCTTCCAGGGGGAGCGTTAACCTCCTATGCCCCCTTTCTTTTTTAACTACGCTTCTTGTTCACAGAAACAAAAATTGGCCGCAATGTCAATTCAAATTCATTTGCGCCAAGACTTAAGAGTTGCATCGAAAAAGCATCGGCTAGAAACGTGCGGTTAGGAACGTAAATTCCATCGCCAAGATATATCCGGGAAAAGTTTGGCATGGCAAAACTTTAAAGACCATCTTTGAAAGAGATGGTGGCTGTTGCTGTGTGGGACTAGGCCATAAGGGCTTGCATTGTTTATCTTAAAATGCTTAAACAAAGTTTTTATAAATTGTTACATTTTCCGCCTCAAACTCAGCAGTGTTTTTAATTTTTGCACATTTAAAAATGCTTCTGAAACTGATTTGCGGTTGAGCTGGTGAATTGACCGAATTTTTATTTATTATTACTCGCAATAATTTTTTCGGGTGCATTGTAATTTTATTTCTTATGTTCTACGAAGCATATGTATATTAAATATTTTCGTGATAAGGCAGCCAATGCGTAAAAATATTGATGTATTTTTTGTTTAATTTAGTCGCAAAAAGATCTTAAAATGTTTTTAAAATGCATTGAATAAGGCTCTGACTGCCGTCTTACTTGCACTTACTCGTTTTTTCGTGAAGAAGCGAAGTGAAGTGAAGTGTTTCTCTCCTCCATCTCCGTTACCATTGGAGGCATTCTCATCCACTGGGCTTAGATAAAATCGAGATAAAACTATCAACAAACTTTCTCCATTTTCAATCATAGTGAGGAGGGATAACGATTTCTTTTGATTTGAATTTTAAACAAATATATACCTTGTGAGACTCGGCGCAACAAACAAGCATGCAAATCCGTTTTCTAACGCCGCAATTACGAACACTCAACAAACGTCAAACAAGTATAGAATAACTTAAATCGTAAATCGCTCTAACTTTTCACTCATTGCACAAAACGAACAACAATAATGGCTCCTGCGCAACCGCCTAAACGTCAGCGAACTGGAACTGATCTCAAGGGAGGTCAAGTTTCTGAAGCACCGTCGCCAATGATTCTTTATCTCCTATCCAAACGCTTTGAGGAGCATGCTGAAAATCGCATCATGCAGCGCACCATGGGCCTGCTGACCGACTAGGTCGGGAACCTCCATCTGGAGGTTGACGTCCAAGGATTACCCGCACTTATGGACAAGATGGATCAGCTGGAGGCAAAACTGCACACTGCACTGAGGCCAACCAGGCAAATGCAAAAATTGCGTGTGAGCTGTGCATTCATGGAGTTCCCTTACAAGAAGTAGAAAACCTTAAGACCGTGTTTAACTCTCTTTGTTTTGCACTTAACATCACACCGACCCTTAAACTTAGTAGCATTTACCGAATCCAACGACGTGGCGAAAATAACACCACAGTTGACCAGCCGTAATAGTAAAAGTGGAACACGTGAGCGACAAGATTGAATTACTACGGCGAATTGGACCATTTCGCAGCGAACCTAAGAAAAAGCCGAGTCTACTCGCAGGTCCCATTTTGCGTTAATGAATAGCTGATCCCTTACAATTATGAAATTTTCAAGGCAGCAATGGGCATGAAAAAACCAAAGCTTCTCTCAACTGTTTTTTGCCGCCGAGCTTTTGTTTTCGTCAAGGTGTCTGCAAACGCTGAGCCCGAGCGTGTTATCAACAAAGAAGAGCTTGCGGAGGCGAATCCGAATCCAAATGATTCACAAATTAATTTATTTCGCTAAATGTCTCATTGGTTTATTTTATGTATATGTTAGTATATGGGAGTATGTTTGTATGTGAGGGAGTCAAAGCTTGATTTGCAGAAATGACGCTACCAGTTAGGTAGAATTTTTATTTATTGAGCTAACTGGTTCTTTCTGTCGAATCAAAATGCTTTTAGGATTGGCATACAGGCCAAAAAGAACACTTGACTTTACTGATTTCAAATCATTGTTTTTGGGATTTATCTTTGACCTATAATGAAATTATATTAGCCGGTGATCTTAACAGTAATATGTTATTTTCAGCAAGTCAGAGATTCAGATGTTTCGAGAATACCCAATATGTCATATGGACATAACCGTAATGTTTCACCAAAAATCCCAACCATTTTGCAAGGATGTGCTCTGTGGAACTACTGTATCATTGGTTGTCTTTGTATAGTATCGATAGTATCGAATATTTTATTAAGTTACATCATTAATTTATTATTTCATTTTATTTATTTATCTAACAAGGCCAAAAAATATTTTCAGGAATGGATACCAATGCTGAATTAACGTTCATTGATATATTGACGTTTATAACAGATGAACTTCTGCAAGCATACCGATGCAGTAATGGAGAATTAGAAAAAGTTAAGGCATTTACCGACTATCTTGAACGCTGGAAAGACGACATCTCCATTGCAAAACTCAAGGCTGTCAATGTTCAGTTTGAGTCTGGTAAGCGTTCTAAAAATTACTTTGAGTTTCTATGTAAGTGTTTTTTATATAAGTGTTTAATTAATAGATTTGGATTGGTTTAATGTTTGTCGTCCATTATCGTTGAAGGAACTACACGGAAAAGTTATTGTTCTAGACTTTTTTACATATTGTTGCATTAATTGTATGCATGTTTTGCCTGAGCTGCACAATCTGGAAGATAAGTTTCCCATAGAAAGTGGGCTTTTAGTAATAGGTGTTCACAGTCCAAAGTTTGAAAATGAAAAAGTTACGGCAAACCTTCTGTCCGCTGTTGAACGATATGGAATCACACATCCCATTGTTAACGATTCTCGGTGTACAATGTGGCGTGCTCTTGGCATACGCTGCTGGCCATCCTTGTTGGTTTTAAGCCCGACAGGCATACCCATGCTATTATTAATGGGCGAGGGGCATGCAAATTTTCTAGAGGAATTCGTTGGTGCTGCGTTATCATTTTTCAAACGTCTTGGGAAAATCGACAACTGCAGCTTACCCATTAAATTAACCAGTAACTGTCAGCCGGCGTCAAACTTACTTTTTCCTGCAAAGATTGCCAGAAGCCCACTGGGACGGTATGCGATCGCTGATACTGGGAACAACCGGGTTCTGGTCGTGTCCAGCAGGGGCTTGGTACAACACAAGATTGGAGGACACCAGCCGGGTTTTGTTGACGGTATTTTAACGGCAGCGCGGTTTAACAACCCTCAAGGACTAGTGTTCATTGATGAAAATGCTTTGATAGTTGCGGACACCAAAAATCACGCCCTCCGTAAGATCTCCTTAACCAGTGGAATGGTGGAAACTCTTGCTGGAACTGGCCTTCAAGGAAACGATCGGATTGGGGGTCGTCTAGGCCATTTGCAGCCTCTATCATCGCCTTGGGATGTTGCTATATTTCGAACGCGCGACATGGACATGTCTTTTCATCTTGATGAACGTAACGTGCCTGAAAAAACAATTGTGCTTATATCTATGGCTGGCACCCATCAGATTTGGGGCTATTTTCCAGAAGGCATTATTTGGTGGAAATTCCGAAAATTTGAGCCTCTGTGCTGTGTCTCATTGATTGGAAATGGTTTGGAGGAAAACCGTAATAATTCTTACCCACAGAATGCTGCATTCGCACAACCATCAGGTTTGGCCATGGCAAAAGACGTTTTGTACATAGCCGACAGCGAAAGCTCTAGTATACGTAAAGCTTCTATGATAGACGGAAAGGTTATGCCTGTAGTTGGAGGGGATCGTAACCCACTGGTAAGTTATTTGCTTGCGATTAAGCTAAAAAACGATAATTTAATTTAAAACCCAACATTTTTTTAGAACTTATTTGCGTTTGGCGACATTGATGGAAAACTTTTCAACGCAAAACTTCAGCACCCTTTAGGATTAACTTACAATGATACCAATAACAGGCTCTATGTGGCTGACACTTATAATCATAAGATCAAAGTTATTGACACCCTTTCAAACAATGTTACCACTTTACAAATCAAGGGTCAAGATGGTTCCCTGTTAAATTTTAATGAGCCGGCCGGACTGTGCTTGGACGCCGACGGGCAAAATTTGTTGGTGGCTGATACCAACAACCACTCAATACTATTAATAGATCTTGTAACGCTAAGATCTCAATCATTTTCTTTAGATTTTAGTCAAATTGCGTCGACTAGTGAAACTGATGCGCCGCAATGTTTATTAAAAAACCTTGGGAATCAATTAGTTAGGACTTTGCCACTGCATTTTCTTAAAACGAGCTCTATTAATTTTAGACTTCGCCTTTCGCCGGAGCTTAATTTTACTAAAGAAGCTTCTCAGAAGTGGATACTAAAAACAGTCGGCCAATTCGTAAAGGTTAATCCATCTTCTGGAACTCTAATTAATGGAATGTGTAATTTGGAGGTTCAGAATGTGCAAAGTGATTATTTGAGTGAACACAGTGAAATATTTACAATTGAATTTATATTGAATTTATGTAACTCAAATTGTTGTCTTATAAAGCGAATTTATGTTTCTATAATAAGTGCTAAAACTATTGAAGATTATATACCTATACACGATGTAGATATTCAAATTGACTAGTAAACATACATAGATTAAATATTAACAAGTTTTGCATTAATAATTCTTTTAGATGGTGTTCTAGTTAAGAAGCCAGAATTTTTGCATTTTTTTAAAATGCAAAAAAATTAAGAACATTTTTAATATACCACTATTTAAATTTTTCATTGACATTTGAAGATAATAAAAAAAAATAAAAAAAAAACAAAAAAGCGAGATATAGGCCGGTGGGGCATTAAAAGAATCGGTGCGTCCAGGTTGACATGATTTCAACCATCGAAAAAAATCAATCAAACAAATTCTTCATTAGTAAAGATGCCGCTATCGGGTTGACCACAAAAAAATATATACATATATATAAATAACAAAAAAGCGTGTACTTAAAAAAAAGATAGAGAGATATATGTCAACCACCTCAAAAAAGTAGTTTTGAGGTACACTTGTTTAGAAAACAATTCTAATGGCTCAGACGCCACGTAAAAAAATTGGTTGTGTCTGCGAAAATAATTAAAAAAAAATTTTAAAGTAATTTTAAAAATAAATGCTAAAAAAAATTCGTTTACTTTTCTTATTTCTAGACCGGAATACCGCCTTAATGCGGTTAAAATTTAAATTAAGAATGAATGCTTTTTAAGGTAAGCTGGAGTTTGTACCAATAAAAGCATTCTCAAGGACACTAGGCAAGATTGACATATTTGTGAACTTGCAGAGATAACACAAGTTTTGTTAAACGTTTTTAAAGAGAATCATACATTTTCTTCCATGTACAGTAAATAAACGGTGTTTTAACCGGTATTGAACTTAAAATTATAAGTTAAAATTTAATACTTGTGACTGCAGTAGTTCCAAACGATTTATTTTGCGAAACTTGTGAAGAAACTTTTCGAAAGCAAGACGACGAAAAGGAGTGGTTACAATGTCGTTCGATTGATCACTAACTTTAATATTTCAATAATTTCTCTTAGAACCTAACTTATGCTAAGGTGGCGAGAGACGGGGCGAACTCGCAAGAGCGAACGGACGAAAGCTTTATTGGCTCCTGCTCTCGCCCTACAACTAGTGATTTCAAATACAAGCGCCAAGTGCGCAAACTCCGCCCCCTCTGAAGGGACGACGTCCTTCAGCCCAGAACGGGCAACAGGGCCAGTCGGTGGACAGCTCGCTGATACTCCCCCTCCTGCATTCTGACGTCGGCGCCGGCGTGCACCGCTACCACACGGCTGGGGCGGAAGATTGTCTTCGGCGACGAAGACGACCGCTCGCATGACGATGTTGGGTTTCCCCTGGTGCCACTTGGACCGCTGCTGGAGGCTGGAGATGTACTCCTGGGACCATCGCTGCCAAAACCGCAGGTCATGTCAAACAGGTCAGGCAGATCTGGTCCGGGAGCGCCGCTGATGGTGGGGCCCAAAAAAGACCGCCGATGAGCAGGTAACCGGGGGTCAGGGCTTCGCCGTCGTTCGCGTCGTTGCTTAGAGCTCCGAGGGGCCTGGTGTAGAGCACGGCCTCCACGCTAGTGGGCACAGTTAGGAGCTCCTCCGCGGTCAAGAGGTCTTGGCCTACCATCCGAAGGAACAGGTGCTTTGCAGACTTTACACCAGCCTCCCATAGTCCGCCGAAGTGCGGTGCTCTGGGCGGTATGAACGCAAACTCGCATCCTTTTTTTGATGCGAATGTTTCGATACCGCCCTCCATGCTCCTCCAGACGGGCTCGGAACTCTCCCATGTGCCGATCTGCACCGACGAAGTTGGTGGCGTTGTCGCACCACACCTTCTCCGGAATCCCGCGACGACTCACGAACCTTTGAAATGCCAACAAGAACGCATCAGCGGTTAGGTTAGACACTAATTCTAAGTGGACCGCTTTGGACGCAAAACAGACGAACAAGGCCACGTACGACTTGTACGGTGGCTTACCAGTGCTAAAGGGACCACAAAAATCAACGCCACAAATATTGAAGGGAGGCAAGTTTCCTATAATTTGCGTCAAGAGTTGCGGCTTACAGCGAAAGCAGCGCATGCACGACCGAACTGTTCGTCGGCAGACTTCTTGAGCATTAACTAACCAGATTTTCTCGCGCAGATGACTTACGAGAGCTAGTGGGCCAGCGTGACAGTTCGTAACGTGCAGATATGACACATAGGATCTGACGAAGTGTGAGCTTTTAGACAGCAACAACGGGGGTCAATAACCGACCCCCCACTAGTAGCAATGTCGAGGAGCACCAATCAATTTATTTTCCTGAAGAAAAGGGTTTAACTTTTGAATATTCGTTGCTACCGGCTTATTTTTCCGAATTTTATTTATGTTGTCCCTGAATTCGTGAAATTGGATAACTTTGACAATTTTATCAAAAGCGAAATCCAGTTCTCTTGGCGAAATACTTTTTTCAAAGGGCTTCGACACCTTTCTGCACCTTTGAATAAAACGAAAAACCCACACGAACACTCTCAGAAGCTTCAGGTGCGACGAAAAGAACTCTATTTTCTGAAGCAAATAATTTGGGTCTCGGCTGACTACGAGAGCTATTACCGATTTGCGAAGCTCCATCGACATTACATCAGCCGGCAGTTCGAAATATTTATTTACAGGCCAATTTTTTTCTGAGTCTAGCAAGAACGAAGGCCCACCGAACCAAATGGACGTTGTAAGCTCCTCTACGCCACATCCTCGGGACACTATGTCTGCTGGGTTGACTTTCGTGGGAACGTGTCTCCAAATTGCTTTCTCCGACCACTCCTGATTTTCTGCAACCCGGTTCGAAACAAAACCCGACAACGACGAGGGATGGGTTTTAATCCAGTGTAAAGTGATCTCGGAGTCTGTCCACAGGAAAACATTCTCAATGGGAGAATTTAGCAATGGCCTGATACGATTATAGAGATCTGGTAAAAGGTGGGCTGCACACAGCTCAAGGCGAGGCAAAGTTTTCGTCTTGAGGGGAGCTACTTTCGATTTGGCGGTCAATAAAGACACTTTCAAACCTTCAGCAGTTTGAGTCCGAACGTAGATGCACGCTCCATACGCTCGCATGGAAGCGTCAGCGAAACCATGTATTTAAATCGGGCCTTGTGGATCTGTGTTGACGAATCGCGATACCTTAATTTTAGGCAGCTGCAGAAGCGTCGCTTTAAACGTCTCCCACGATATAAGCAACTGCATCGGCAGCGACTCGTCCCAATCTAATTTTCGAAGCCACAGTTCCTGCAACAACATATTTGCCTTTGTGACGAAAATACACAAGAGGCCAAGTGGGTAAAAAAGTAGAGCAGTCACAGACAAAATATTTCGCTTTGTCGCGCGAAGATCCAGGAAAGAGTCATACAACCGAAATTGAAAGTAATCTTTAACCGGTAACCAAACCACGCCAAGGGTCTTAGTTACGTCTGAGTCTGCCATAAGTGGCATTACAGCGCCATCAGATGTGGATAACTCTGGGCAGTTTGAAAACCACTTTGCCAATTTAAAGCCTGCCTCTTGCAAGACCTGAGAAACTTTGTCTCTAAGGCATTGCAGAACCTCAACGCATCCGGCGCCGGCCGTCAGCAAATCGTCAACATAAAAATCATTCTGAATAACCTTTGCGCCTTTTGGATGAGTTGCTTGCGCCATCTCTCCTAGCCGCATTAAACACCGAATCGCCAAAAAGGGTGCTGGCGAAGTTCCATATGTAACTGTGTTTAACCACTAACCATACAACATATAGACTGGTCATTTCATACGACGCATTTGGACACACAAATTCGGACCGCGGAAGGTCCACCGCTCTCACAGCAGCAGGTCCATGCACTTCGTGTGCGTTCGGGTTTTTTACTCTCTCATTCTTATTCTCATTTTTATGCTCGCGCACTCATTGCACGGGTTCAGTCGTTCAGTCGCAGAGAGGCGCTTTTTGAAGAAGGCTGCCCTGCGCTTGAATTCGTCTTTGTATGTATGCGTGATCATGCATTCTCATACACGGGAGCATGTGTGCGTTTATTTCATTTCGGCGCATCAAGAATATTTTGTCTTTTGCCACTTTTCAAACTTGGTACCCTAAGAATATGGGCGTATTTACTATTGGGTTATGATATAAATATTAATATTATATGTTATAATATATTTTTTTAATATTTCAGCATACATTTTATTTTTGTTTACAAATTCAAATCAGTGGTAGCAGTAAAATGTTTTACATATATGTATGTATTCGAATTTATAGAAATCAGTCCACTGAGATCGGAACAGGGCATATCGCAGTCGTGTCACTTGAAACACCGACTGCTCTTCAGTGGTTGAGAAAACTTCAAACTAAATAAATTCTTGTCGATGTTTTGCGAGCGGTTGGTGCCTGCATACCCTACCGACCGGCTTTTAGGACACTTGTTTTAAATGTTATGTTTAGTGATCTTTGGTTGATTTATTTTTTAATGATTCGCAGTGTTATTTTAATTGTCTTTAAACAAGTAATAAATAATAAAATACTTTTTATATTTTTGAAAATGTAAATGGAACAAATATAAAAATCCACATTTTTTTAATGATAATAATTTATTTTAATGATTATAATTTTAGATTTTAATTGTACCTTCGCAACCCTAACAGTTCAGCAAAGATTCGATTTCGCTAAAAGAGCACCCTTATGCATTAACTGCTTAAGAAAGGGTCACACTGTCAAAAAATGCAAATCGATGTAGAGTGTGCAATTCCTCACATCACACTTTGCTACACATATATGCCCCAAACACAAATCTCGCGTTGCCACCTCCTTCTCAGCCCACGCTAATGCAGGAGTCTCCATCCACGTCGCATGTTTTGCATGCGAATGCATCGGATCGAGTCATTCTTGCAACTGCTGTTGTGAGCGTCCAAACAAAAAGCGGCGAGTTTGTATTAGCTCGAGCGTTGCTCGACTCTGGTTCACAAATAAACTTTGTAACCGATGAGCTCGCTCAGAGGCTCAAAATTACAAGAGAGGACGTGTGCATGAGCTTGCGAGGCATTGGTGGAACTAATGCCCAAGCCACAAAAAAAATACACACTATTGTGAAGTCGCGAGTAGGGAA